GTGTTTGCTCTCTCTTCCTGCTAACAGCGACATAGCATCTGGCCTGTGGCCTACTTGTCCCCATCTTCACCTGGGCCAGGCCTGGGGATCGCGTGCTTGTTCTGAGTAAAATGCATGTCTTTATGATCACTGTTTGTGGCAGAGACCCTCCATTAACTTCTGTGGTTAATGCTCCCTCGTAGAGGGCTGTGTGATGAGGCAATGCCTGGGAGTGAGCACTAGAATATAAGCTCCTCAGCGACAGACACAACTTCTGTCTTGTTTCCTGTCTATCTCCAGGGACCAGAACACATACTAGAGGTTCAGGAAATCTTTGTTGAATGAATCAATGAATGCATGAATTATTACATGCAAGCTGTACATAGAATAATAAATTAGAATATGATAAAACTAACTAAAATCCAGAATCATAATTTGATCTTTCTTCAATGCAGTCATGAGCTTAGACTTCCTCACATGCATTTTTATAAAGATGAATTCGCCATTACTACGTATTTATAGAAGTCTTGGTTAACATTATGCCAAGTGAAGCACATTTTACTATTATATATTACTCTTCAATAAAAGGATACCATAAACCAACAGTTTATAAAATACCTATGTCATCGATAATGAAAATTATTGTGTTGTGTATTGAGTATTGTGAAGGAAATAAAACTTGTTTCTGCTATTTTTTCTGTGACTGAGGTTCTCAAACACAGTTGTTTGCAGAGGTTGACCTCCTAGTTCTCAGTCAACTCTAGCAATACTCGTAGCTTGTTTGATACCAGCTAAAGGGAAACTGTGCAGTGTGTTGAGGACTCTCCCAGGCATACATGTGAGAAATATGTATGGCCAACCCAGGCCCTGACATGCAGCAAGTTATCAAAGAAACAGCAGCGCATTGAAACCTACCAGGCCTGGGGTCTGGCCTGGGGTCCTACCTGGGGTGTCACGGTGGCTCTAGTCCTTCACCTTTGTGAAACTCAGGTACTTTATTAGTGTAATGTAGATAATACCTATAGCCTAGTACTGTTTTAAGGCCTCACTTATATGAAGCACCTGCCATTGGTACCTGCTGTAATATTAGGATGTCTGAAACAGAGCTGTGATTTGCAAATTCCCATGCCTGAGCTAAAACGATGCACACACACAGGGTAATAGCTTTCCAGCCACATAGGACCCTTTAGCCCATTGATCCCAGCACTTTTTCCTTCAGTTCCCACCTACTTTCCCTTCACATCTGGCTTTAATTTCTTGGTCCCTCACTCTCTTTCTCAATCTCAATAAAGTCAACTCTTTGGCTTTTGCAAGTGTCCGTATAAGTAATGTAGCAAAGCTAGAGAAAAAAAACAACAAAATTGGGAAGATTGGTTTCAGTTTAAATTCACAATCTTAAATCTTAGACTCAAAACATTAGTAGTCATTCTTACTATTCTTCTGTAGTAGCTCTAGTTTTTCACCCTCCCAGATGATTATTTCATGTTTCTCTTCTCTCCCAACAATCTGATCACTTCCTCTCCCCTCCCTGATGTTATGACACATGGTTGGAAATGTAGCAGCCATCAGGATTGGAATGGTCTCACCTTTCCCCCAGGTGAACACCTTCTCCTGCCCTTTTCTCAGTGGAGCATTGGCCCTGTCCCTCCCACCACAGGCTGACTTCCTGCTCTCAATCCCCACCCCTTTTGTCTTCTCAGAAACTGCGCCCCTCCACCTCCCAGTTGACCTTTCCACCTGAGAACAGAGTGTTTTGTCCTTTAGAATTAATGACCATGTGCTATTGATAATTTTTTTAACTTTTTCTTTTGTTACAGTTGTTGGCGAGCAGAAACTTTAATGCAACTATTTTGGCCGAAGTAGTAATCTTTCGATATTTGTCGGATGAACTGTCTAATAGGAAGAGAATTTATGATGAAGAAATGACGGAACTGTCAAAGTAAGTCCTCCAGCTGTATGTACTTGGTCTTGAGTCCAGATGAAAGAAAAAAATCCTTGTTCACCTCATAGCTCTATCCCAGTGTTTTCCCCTCTTGGCAGAGAAATTAGAAAGCCTCAAATAAAACAAATAATTGCAAAGTGTTTGTGGACATTTCATTGAAAGAGGGTATAAGAAATAATTCAAAAGTGTGTTTTAACAAAATTATATAGTTGCTTTTTATATCTAAATAAGTAATAATGACTCTTTCAGAATTGGAAAAGCACAGTATATCAGTATGTAGACACAGAAGGGAAAACAGGATTACAACTCAAAATAGGCTTGACAGTGTTTTTTATCTTTTTAAAGTGATTACAATTTTATGTTGTAGTAACCTTTAACTACTGAACTCTTATCATTCTACTTTTTTTTATTTAGAAGTCATTACCTTCCACTACTGTGTAGTTTTTGTTTTCGTCAGACTTTTTTCTGTAGTGGTCCTAAGTTACAACTTTTTTAAGTCAAGTAATATAATTCAGCATGTTTTCTCTGGTTAAATTAAGATGGGCTTGGCAGGAAACCCAGGTGAGCTGGGAACTTAGCTGTGGTCATTGAGACAGGACTGAGGGTTTTACTTTGCGAATGAGACAATCGAGGTTAGCTAGCTTTTGCAATTTTTTTTAAAGATTTTTATTGGGGAATTAGAGGATGGGAACAGTGCTGGGGAATTGGGGGAAGAGGAACAGACAAGTTGCTGTCGTTTTTGTTCTTCAGTGTAGTTGTGGAGGACGTTGCTTCACTGGCCCAAGTTGGCACCATCATTGCGCTCTTCCCGGGTGAAGCAGATCAGTCACCAGCTTCTGGACGGCCGCTCACGGCGGCTACTGGCCACTCACGCTGGCTGCTGGCTACACACGGTAGCCCATGGCAACCCACTGCAGCAGAGGCTGCAGCCTACGCCGTCGCCGGTGACTCACAGCAGCCCAGCTTCAGGTTGAGCTGTTGTTCGGCATCTTAGCTGTGGAGGGCAGTGTCACTGGCCCTCATATGTGGGATCTGAACTGGGGCCTTCTGGCGTCCCAAGCCAGCCCGTTTCTAGCGGCTCCCACATCTAAGTTCACGTTTTCCCTTACCCTGCAGTCTGACCAGAGACGTCCCCATCTTTGTGTGTGCCATGGCCTTTCCCACCGTCCCATGTCCGCTCCACGTCTTTGAGCCCCGCTACTGGCTTATGATAAGAAGGTGCATGGAAACTGGCACCAAGCGGTTTGGCATGTGTTTATCTGCTGACCACGCAGGGTAAGACTCATCAGCATTCAAAGGGTCCTAATTAAATGTATAATTTGTCGTTTTTCTTGAAGAACAATTTAGAATGTTGAAAATCTCCAGTGGTTCCCACGACATCACAAAGGATAAATTCAGGACCAGCCGTGATGTGATCCCAGCCTTCTTTCGAGCCTCATCTCCTACTCCTTCTTTCAACTATCACACCTGCCAGTACACTTCTCTAAATACAGTTCGTATCTTCATGCCTCCAGGCTTCCCGCTGCCTACAATTCTGTTTTAGTTCATCATTATGCAAAAAAATATGGTTCAATTTTTAAGATGTAAAGGGCTACATCCTCTGTGAAACTTTTGTCTACTTCAGCTTTTACCTCCCCTTGTTGGCATCATTTGTCTTGGGCAGAGGTTCTGAATCAGCAGATAGTTCCGCTCCATGGGCAGCTTTGGAGCTGTGGATCCTTTCCATCGCTTGGTTTCCTAACCCCCTAGGGCTTTGTCAGCACTGCATGGTCATGGTGAGGTCACTACATGCAAGTTCTAGCTGGTAGAAGAGGGACATGTGCTCTTACAGGACTCTGGAGAAAAGGGGCACTTCGCTGCCACTCATGCCTACAGCAAAGGAGGCTGGGAAATGTAGTCCATCATGTGCCAGGGAAAAAGGGAGAATGGATTTTTAGGGACACCCACTAGTTTCCACCACAAATACCTAGAAATACATCTCTTTAAAGGTATGCATAGGACCTTTATGAAGAAAATTCTATGACTTTATTGAAACACGTTCAAGATGATCTAAATAAATGCGGAGAAATATCATGTCATGGGTGCATAGATTCAATGTCATGGAGATGCCAGTTTTACCCAAATTAGTCTATAAATCCAAAATTGCACCAGCCAGCATCCCAAGAGCGTTTTTCCATGGAGTTGCTCAAGCTGATTTTAGAATCAGTACAGAAAAGCCAAAGACTAAGACCATGAAACCTTTTGCCCAGCTGAGCAAGATGGGAGAATTCCTACAGGCTCAGATTTACAAGTCATAGTAAGTAGACCATTTAAACAATACAGAGATAAGAAACAGATCTACTCATATATGGACTCCAAAGTTATATATAATTTTGTGAGAAAAGGGAAACAACTCAATAAAAGGTACTCAGAAAATTACTGGGTAATCAAAATGGGGCAAGAAATCTCTGTCTTACGCCATACACACAAAATAACATGTTTACATTCCCAGTCTGAAATGTGAAAAAGAAAAGATAAAAACATTTAAGAGAAAATATTGGGGATTATCTTTAGAATTAGGAGTAGGGAAAGATTTTTTCTTTTAATCACAAGATGCTGAGAGCATAAAGGAAGAGATTAATAAATTTGACTATATCAAAATTTAATTCATCAAAATCAAAAGCAAAGTGAAAAATCAAGCTCCAGAAGTTCCACTTCTAGAAGGATAGAGAACACTGAGAAGAGTGTTATGTTACTCCAGATAAACTACAGAATGTAAGTTTCTTGAACCCATCAGAGAGTGAAGGCTGCTTGAGGTGAAGGAAAGATAGGACCCTCTAGGAAGAGAATAGACCAGAGTCCCGGCTCACCTGTGGCAGAGCCCAGGAGAAGGAGACGTGTAAGTGTAGGAAGGATTCAGCTAATTTTTCAACCAAATTTCTAATGGCCTTATGTGGACAAGCACAACAGCCTAGATCCCCTGGGAGCTGCAGATGTAAGGGGAGTTTGCACCCCCTCCTACTCACAGATCCTTGTCCACGGATATGGCAAGGTACTCACTGGAGAGACCGGTTCTGCAGCTGAGACAGACTTGAAGGTATCTGCTGATGGCTGCGGCAGGAAGCCCTCCCTTGAGGGGCTCTTCAGGGTGCCTTCATGCACAGCATAGCCTTAGATAGAACAGTCCCCTTAGATCACCAGGAAGAGATAGTTTTATTAGAGGTCCCAGTAGAGGTGTTCAGCAGGCAGTTCATACAGTCATGTAACCTGAGAACCATCACTTTTAGTTTGAAGGTGTGTAAAGAATTGTTCACTGACTTTAGAATCAGATAGCCTTGGGTTCAAAACTTGGCTCTAAACTTTATTAGGGCCTTAGATAAGTTGTTTAATTTTTCTGAGCCTCTGTGTTTCTGTGAGGCTCGAATGAGTACATACTATAAACTCAGTAGGCACAATCAATATCATCAGGATACAGATGACAGTTAAAACCATGAGAGTGAGTTGTAGATGCCTGACCACTGCGCTGTACACCTGAAGCTGAAGCTGAAAAATATTGAATGTCAACTATGAGGTAGGAAAATTAAGTCCGCGAACTCATCCTAGAAAAAGGCTACATACCTCATTGCTGAATATCACTACAGTCACCTTCGAAGCACTCCCCTTGGGAAGCTGTGTACCGACACCAGCGCCTAGTCCACCCTTCAAAGCAATTTTGGAACACTTTTTCTGGAATGGCCATCAGAGCTGTCATCGTATACCCTTGATGTCCTGAATGTCATCAAAATGTCTTCCTTTTAATATTTCCTTTATCTTCAGGTAAATAAAGAAGTCATTGGGGGCCAGATCAGGTGAGTAGGGAGGGTGTTCCAATACATTTATTTGTTTGCTGTCTAAAAACTCCCTCATAGACAGTGCCTTGTGAGCTGGTGCATTGTAGTGATGCAAGAGCCATGAATTGTTGGTGAAAAGTTCAGGTCGTCTAACTTTTTCACTCAGCCTTTTCAGCACTTCCAAATAGTAGACTTGGTTAACTGTCCAGGTGGTACAAATTCATAATGAATAATCCCTCTGATTTCAAAAAAGCTTAGCAACATCGTTGCAACAAGTTCGCAAACTTAATTGTCCAACCTCATATAATTAAAAAAAAACAACTATCTGTATGTGTGTGTGTGTTTGTGTGTGTGTGTGTGTATGTTCATGGAATGTGGAGTACAGCATAGGCAATAGGGTCAATGGAATTAAAACAGCTGTATATGATGTCAGAGGGGTAGTAGATTGGGAAGGGGGGTTATCACTTTGTGAGGGGTGTAAATGTCTAACACATTGTTTTGTACACCTGAAACCAACCAAACAGACAAACAAAAAACCATGAAAGTGGGTAAGATCACCTGGGAGGGGTTTGGAGAAGGATACCTGAGTAGCCATGCCATCCTGGGTAGCCCCAGTGTGTAAGGGACATGTGCAAGAAGGAAGCTGTGAAGGGCTGGACTGGTCAGGGAGGGTGAGAGAGAGCAGCAGAGGGTGTTGGGTCAGCGACAGGTCAGCGGGTCATGCCAAAGTCATTTGCGAATCCCGCTGGGGTATGGAGGTGCAAAATGGAGACAAGGAGATGAAGGCAGTGATTGTAGACAACTTTCCATAGCAGCTAGTGGGGAGGGCAGAGCTGGCCAGCGTCATGGGCATTGGCGAGGACAGCTGAGGGGCTGGTGATTTAAGGTCTGTCTCTCCCCATTTCTTGGGTCCTTCTGAAAGCACTGGCTCACTAGTGGCCAACTGAGGCATGGCGCTCTCAGCTCCAGCCAGTCTTCTACAGCCACAGGTCACCAGTATATTCCTATTTAACATAAGGAATTGCCTACAGGTGTCTCTGAGAAGGTAACCATGCTGGAACGATGTGGAGACACTGTTTGCTTTGTTTGTTTTATTTGTTTTATGCAGTAAGACCCAGACCCACCCAAGAAAAAATGAAGACCTCCTGCATTGTTAAATCATGGTGATTTCTCCTGACTGTCCTTTCAGGATTTCAGAGTATGGCTGCATGCTGGAGATTAAGGATGTCAGGACATTTCCTGATGGCAGTTCAGTTGTTGACGCAATTGGCATTAGTCGGTTCAGAGTCCTAAGCCACCATCACCACGATGGTTACAACACGGCAGACATCGAGTATCTTGAAGATGAAAAGGTGAGGTTTATTTTACTGGTGTACGTTCAAGGATCAGTCACCTTATTTCCCTCTGCATTGTGGAGAAACTGGCCAGATTTTGAATGACAGTATTACTTAGGTCTTCCTTAATTATGCACTTAAGTTATTTATTATCAGTGGATTTTTACATGAGTTGGAGCTGGTAAAAAAGATCACCTTATTGCTGCACATTGTCCCCTGAGTTTGGGGCTGGTCATTTTGATGTTCTAGTCCAGGTACTGGCAAACTTTTTCTATAAAGGGCCACAATGGTAAGCACTTTAGACATTCCAGGCCATATGGTGTCTGTTGCAAGTACTGAACTTGACCGTTGTAGCCTCAGACAGTATGGGAGCAAATTGGCATGGCTGGTTTTCAGCAAAATGTCATTTACAAACACATGATAAACAGGAGTTGACTTCTGAGCCATAGTCAATCCATCTTCTAGAGACTGGTATTAGTTCAATGAGACATAATACAAAACAGTAGTGCTAAAAAATCCCTTCTAATGCTAAGTGTAGAGGCTGGCATCACTTACCCCTTAGGAACCACGTATGTGTCTAATAGAAATATCAGGCCATATAATTTGATAGATTGACAAAATGTTTTGAAGGGATTCTCCAAAAGACTTGTACAAGGGTGTCCATCACAGTCTTATTCATGAATTGCCAGTAACTAGAAACAGCCCAGATGCTCATCATCAGGTGATGGATAAAGAGAGAGTAGTAAATTCATACAGCGGGATACTACTTGGCAACAAAAAGGAACGGACTCCTGACCCACAGAACAATATGGAATAGTCTCAGAGACATTATGTCAAGTGAGAGAAGTGAGACACACACATACTGTGGGGCCCCATTTTCATCCTTCCAACAACATGCAAAGTTCTGGTGATGGAGCTCCGAGAGTGAGGTGGGGGTTGTAACTGGCTGGAGAGGGGGAGCAGGAATCCTAGGTGACGGTGGTGTCCTTGACCCTGTGTAGGGTGGTGGATACGCTGTAGTGTGGTTGACAAAACCCTTTGAGCTAAGCAATTAAGATCTATGCATTTCGTATGTAAATGATACTGCAACAAAAACATGAAAACTATTTAGGAGGAGGACATCCTTGGAATAACCGTATCTTTTGGATTCTTTGGTTCACTTTGGAGAGCCTTCAGCAGTCTCACATCACACTAGGAGTTGCCCTGGGGACAGCAGTGTCCATGCGTGGCACCTGTGGGTAGAGTCCCACTCACAGCACCAGCTCTGTCTTCCTTCCAGCAGCTGTTTCTGGTCAGTTGTGAGCACAGCGCCCCCGTGTGGAAGGCCCAGCGAGTCACACTCCAAGGCCTTGGGCCGGCAGCTGGGCTTAAAGGCTGTGACTCGGTGTGCTATTTCCCAGGGTCTCTGCTCCACTGGGAGGGTTTCTGAGCTGTTCTTGTGGATGATGCTTTGGATGGTGTATGCACTTATTTTAAAGTGGGAGCCTAGATAGCTGCAACATGAAATAATACTAGGGTTTTCTTTTTTAAAGGAAACCTTCAACTACATAATACTTGATATATATAAATCAAATTGAGAATGGCTATATGCATTACAACCTAATCTCTAGGTTTACCATAGTATTCACAGGCACTGGAATTTTACAACTAGAGGGTTTATTCCCATTTTATAGATGAGAAAAAGTCTATTCTAAGGAGGCTGTGTAACTGGCTGACATTCCCAAAAGAGTCGGTGATGTAGCCAGAAAGAACCTGGTTCCCTGGTTCCCAGTCCATTGCGTTTCCCACTCGGGTGTTCCTAAGTAGAACTGAGACATTAAAATGAGCGAGTGGGCAGCAGGATAAGCACCCGGAAGCGAAGCCTGCTCAGTCTGAGGTGTAGGCCCCCCACTAACACAAGGCTGATGCATTGAATGAATGTCACTGTCACACACCTTTGGGAATACAGTTTGGGGACATGGAATACTGTTTTTAAAATGTCTTACTCTTGGACTTGGTAATTCTGCTTCTAGAAACTATCATGATGGAATGACAGCCCCTTTTGTCACCACAGAAAAACCACCAAAATCCCCCCAGACCACTTTTGCATAAATATTTATATTACTATGTTATTTTAAAAACTGTAAAATTGGGCCAGCCGAGTGGCTCAGTTGGTTAAGAGCTCGCTCAAGAGTGCGAGCTCTGAGCAACAGGGCCGCCGGTTGGATTCCCACATGGGCCAGTGACGCTGCACCCAAGCTGAGCTGTCGCTGAGCTGCCAGTAGGTGGCAGGATGGCTCAGCTGGTGAGAGCACGTGCTCCTAACAGCAAGACTGCCTGTTCAATGGTGGACTACGCCCGCCCACAACTAAGACTGAATCGGCACCTTGAACTGAGCTGCCACCCGGGTGGCTCAGTGGATAGAGTATGCGCTCTTAACAACAAGGCTGCTGGTTCGACTCCTGCATGGGATGGTGGCTACGCCCACCTGCAACTAAGATTGTAACACAGCACCTTGAGCTTAGAGGCCACGAGCTGCTGACGGGCAGCCAGATGGCGACTGGCGCCCTCCACAACTAAGATTGATGAACAACAACTTGGCTGGTCCTCCTCCCCAATTCCCCAACAGTGTTCCCCTCCCCCAATTCCCCAATTTAAAAAAAACAACTGTAAAATTAGAAACAATGTAAATATGATGGTGTGAATGAATGAGTAAATGATGCTATAACTCAAATATATGATTGCCTGTAGCCATTGAAAATTATTTTTAATAACATGGGATATGTCCTGATAATGTAGTGTTAACAGAAAAATCAGGATATTGTAATAGATAGGGTAGAGTCTCCACTACGGGGATTGTCTGTTGTGTATCATCTTGTTTACAAAACACTAATGAATGATCAAAGCAATAAATGCCAAGAATCCACTTAGCAGGCGCAGCAGAGGCCGCCGGCTATAGTGTGTGTGTACTAATCACCGGTTGATGGTCCTCTGTTTTCTCCTGATCAGATGGAAGGTCCAGCATACGAAGAACTGACTACACTTCATTACTCAGTTTATCAACAGTCTGTTTCCTGGTTTACTTCACTCCTGGATCACATGAGAGAACAAATCTTAAGTCATTTTGGGTTAATGCCAGACAGGGAACCTGAGCCTCAGGTATATTCTCCTGTTTTCTGTCCTAATGTTATTAGTTCCTGCTGTACTGTGCTAAGACCCATCATTCTAAAGGAGACTCTGGCAGAACTATGCTCCATGCTCCATTATGGTAGCGTAGTAACAGCCCAAAGAAGCACCTCCCAGAGTAGCCTGTGCCCCTTGGAGCAAAACGATAAATGCTTTCTGGTTAATGCTACATAAAGGTCATTTCTTTCCTGTCAGAGATCAGTTTCTTCTGATTGGCTGTCAGCTTCTGTCCCCTCACTTCTCTCACCCACATCATAAGATTTAAATAGGAATCTTAGTTTTTTGGCATCAACACAGTGTTTGGCACATCACGTTGCCTTGACCTGATACACAGGTATGGAATAAATAAAGAGAAAATCCCCTAATTCTTGTGAAGTTAGAAGCTTTCCTTCCTTTGAAGTACCCGTCTCACCGTCACCATGGGTTTTCTCAGGCTCCCTATGGGTGCTCTTGGTGAAGCTGCTTTCTTCAGCACACAATGGGCTTCAAGTTTATCAAGCCTTTCCAAATGCAGATGATGGCTCTCCTGTGCAGGTGGGTGACAGAGCAGACAGGAACAGTTTAGGGTTGTGACCGAGAGCACGTGGTACACACACACACACACACACACACACACACACACACACACACCCTCCTCCTCCTCCCCACCACTCCTCCCGTACATACCTGTCTTGGAGAAAGCAGGACTCCTCTCAGCGGGTCTAGGGGAAGATGAAAGGCCCTTTCTTTTCCATCCATTTCGTCATCTTTTGCTGTCTGTTGAGGGCGTCTCTCTTTTACCCCTACCTGAGCTCTGTCTTTTTCAACCAAGAATGGCCTCTAAGCCTTTCCTCGCCCTCCACTCTCTTAGGCAGTAGCTCACATTCAGGGAGCCAGGTGGTTACACTAACTGGCATGAAGGCATGGATTGTTCTTTTTTGTAGGGGTTTTTGCATATTGTTAACCCACATTTATCTCTAATTGGGAGATGTATTAGCTTTCTATTACTGCTATAACAAATTACTCAAATGTAGTGGCTTAAAACAACAGAAATGTATTATATTACAGTTCTGGAGGTCAAGTTGGAAACAGGCGTCACCGGACTATGACCAGGCTGATGGCAGGTCTTTCTGGGGGCCCTAAACGGAAACCCATTTCCTTGCCTTCTCCAGCTTCTAACGGCTGGCTGGCATTCCTTGCTTCCGCCCCTCCCTCCGTCTTGGAAGCCAGCAAGACTGCACTCTCTGCCCCTGCTGCTTTAGTCACATCTCCCTCTGAGCACAGCCCAGGGAAGTTCTCTGCTTTAGGACCTATGTGATGAGATGGGGCCCACTGCGATAACCCAGCATAACCCCCGCCCCATCCCAGGGTTCTTAGTCACACCTGCGAGGGGCTTTTTGCCACGTAAGCTTTCATGTTCACGGGTTTCAGGAATTAGGGCGCGGACACCCTTGGTAGACCGTGTTTCTTCCTACCAGAGAGGATTTTAGGTAGTATATGGGGGACATTTTTATGCTGAGGCCCTCCCCACTCCGTATGCTGCCCAGTTTTCTTTCCCACTGTAGGACAAGGAGTGAGAGGTGTGAGTCATACAGAGGGTGCTTTTCTCCAACACTTGTGCTTGTTCCCTCGGAAGGGAGGCTGGTGCCTTCTCACAGTGACTCGGCTACCCTGTGCACTTGGCCTCATGGCTACTCCTACTCTTGCAGTCAAATCTACTTCCCCCTAAGCTGAGGGGACCTCAGTGTCCACCCTCTCTGTTCCCAATTGGGATTCTGCACCTTTGGAGTGGGAATGGAGGAAAATCCAAGACACTAGAAACAAGGAGACCTGGGTATCTTGGTTCTAGTACCAGGAATACTGAGAACATATTTATAATCAGCTTTTGCTTAGAGCTCAATCCAGAAGTGCCTGTTTGCTTATGTGAAATAAAGCCTATTGGGTAGCATAATAATTCATATATAGGTGGTTCCAAATGTGTATACACTTTTTAAGAAAGGAAAACTGTATTAAAATTGTAATAATAAATACCGATAACAAAAGACAAATACAAATCACGTTTGGCTTCTGCAATGTCAAGAGGTGCTCAAAGTGGTTACGTAACATCAGTATCCAGATACTTCTGATTATGGCGAACTACTGCTTGAGCAACGCTGACCAGTGTCCACTTGTAAACATTTTTTTGGCACGCCTGGTATATGTATATATGTGTGTGTGTACACCCACACACACATATACAGTTGATCCTTGAATAGCTTGGGGGTTAGGGGTGCACAGTTGAAAATCCACATATAACTTTTGACTTCCGCCAAACTTAAGTTGTCCCTTGGTATCTGCTGTCAGTTGGCTCCAAGACTCCCCCACAGCCCCACCGTGATACCAAAATCTGTGATGCTCAAGTTCCCTATATAAAATGGCGTAGATCCGTGCGTACAGTTGGCCCTCCCCATCCATGGATTCCCAACCGCGGATCGAAAACAGTATAGGAGTTTGTTGACAAAATCCACATATAAGTGGACCCAGGCAGTTCAAACCCATGTTCTTCAAGGGTTGACTGTAATTAATAGTAAGTCACACATATAGATGTTTCTTATATGTGCACATTTGGCACATTGATTTTATTATAAAATTTATTTAATTATAACACTTAAACTTATATATAAATTTTAGCCTTTGTGATATTATACTTTATGTAGTAGGTTTAAAACTTAAACAATAACACAGAGCATTGGAAAGAGAAGATAAAAATTATTGTCTCTTCTGCCCAGTATACACTTTCAACTGTAGTCTTGAGAGAACAGAATCAACTAATTCATAGAATTTCTCTGCCGAAGATGCTTTTCTTTCAAGTTCTTTTGTGAGTCCCCCCACGTTTAAATGTGTAACATAAGAGTAACCTGTATTTTGAGGGCCGAATGAACTGTGAAGTATTCCTGAACTAGGAGGTGGCATTTAATTCTTGTTCATCTGTCTGTTGGTGAAACGAAAGACAACGTTGAGGGAACAGGGTTGCATTTTAGGCACTAATTTTGTGTTTTCCTTTTGTTTCTTTTGCAGAGCAATCCTAGTGGACCTGCTTGGTCATGGTGGATCCTGGCGGTGTTGCCCTTGGAAAGCAAGGCTCAGCTGGCTATCCTTGGCATGACCTCACTTAAGGAGCGTCTGCTCGCCATTCGGCGAATATTAGTCATCATCACTCGTAAGATGAATAGTCGGCAAGAGCTGGTTAATAGCAGGGAGTGGAATAATTGATTTTCTCTGTCAAGGTTTCTGGAAGCCCTTGGACTTCTATGAGGAGTACCAGGCATGCACAAGCAGCATTCCATCCCATTCATGGCACTTTGTAAAATGCTTGTTGATAGTGTTACAAAATGGAACACTTAGCAAACACTGACTCCTACTCAAGTTAAAAGTCTGTGCCTGGTGAAGTCTGACTCTGTACAAGGTTAGTCTGATGTTTGAATGGAGCCCTTGGTTGGAAAACAACCCAAGAAAATCTCTGTGAAGCAGCTGCTTCTGGTGTGCAGTCCCCTGAAAGCATGGACACTACAAATGGTTACAAGTGGTTGAGGTTTTACTAAAAAGGACTCCCTTCCCAGTACAGCGCCTGCTACACTTGATGGGAACAGCATGCTTCAGGTGCTAGACAAGAAGGGGGAAACCACCTTTTTATCTGGAAGCAGCTTTCTCAGAGCACAGACTAACCTAAAATTTGCTTAGGCTTCATGTGTCACTGTGAAGTTGTCTGTGAAATTAAGGACTCTAACCAATAGTCCAGTGCAGGAGCCAAAATTAAGCCTTACCCAAGAAGTAGTAGCCACCGGATAGAACTGTGTTTTATGTCCTGTAGTAGTTGAAGATGTTATAAATTGCGTGTTGTAATCAGGGACTGTCAACATACACGAAGGTGTACCAGGGATATAGAAATATTTGAAGCCGGTATAGTTGATTTGAGGATATAAATTTATACACCCTCAATAAAGAGTAAACAAAAGTGAGTTAAAACTATACGTGCATTGGGATATCAAATGTACAACCCAACTAGTGCAAAGCGCCCCTTGAAAGCATACCCCTGTCACATTAATTCAATGGGTACTAAGCACTTAAGAACTAGTCATTTTTTTCTACTAGGATTTGCACTAGAAATTAGGCCCCATCAGTAAATCTGAGATCACCTTACATCCACTAATAATATGCAGACGTTAAAAAGCTGCTGTGAAATGAGAATCTATTCCAGGAAAACATACCAGGAGAATAAGATAGTATATAAGGAGACTCGATGGAAAACTGCATTAATAGTCCAGGAGAGAGAAGGCTGCTGGCAATGGAGCAAAGGAAGGACATTAATATATAATGTGGAGAATGTGCAAGTTTATACCAGTTTTGATGTAGAGCTGAATGAGGGGAATCTTCATAGACGACTCCCTCCTGTTTAATAGCTACTGTTTAATAAATACTGAGAGAACTGGAACTAGAGGATGAGTATATGCAGAAGATGAAGCTTAGTAATGAACAGCACAAAGGCTGGATTGCATATGAAAAAGAGAGTTGTTTTAAGATGAAAGATAATAGATTAAGTTTGTATTTGTATGGAAATGTTCAGAAAAGAGAGGGAAGATGGTATGTGATGTAAATATTCAGCAAGCTTTTCTCCAACCTCAACCTAGAAATTATCTCTTTTTTTTATAACAAGTTTTACAATGATCAAGCAGGTATTATCTGTTAAAGAACAGTATGTGTAACTTCCAACCTCTAATGCATATTGGTAATATTGATTGGAATAACCATTTGAACCTGACAAACAAGCTGGTATATTTAGTTGGCTTCTTGGTCTGTGAGGTGGATGTTCTTAAGTGAAAGGTGACAAGGACCAGGCTAGAGAGCAGATCACAGCTATAAGCTTTTCTTTATTCATTCAAGGTATACAGTTTTTGAGTTTCAAAAGATATATGTCATAATACCAAATATTGGTGGTTTATCCATCCATCACATATTTTATTAGAAAGACTTTATAATCATAGCTTTAAAAAGTGTAGTAGTTTTCAATAGCTAAAACTCAGTTTCATCCCAGAGGTTGGAAAATAACTATACTTGTTTTATTTACTTAGTCATAAAGAGAAAATTTAAAAGTATTTTCCAATCATATGTTTCCAGTGCCTCACATAATTGTGAATCTCAGATCTCATCTTGAACATGGCTTAAAGAAAGGCCATTTGGCCAAGTGACTTGTAAATGATTTTAGTAATGCATGTACTGTATTAACAACAGTATCCAGCTTTCTTAGGCATCATAACCTAACCTGATCATTTAGGGAAAAAAAAACCAAAAAACTTCATCTAGCCTTCCAGAAGACCTGTATTAGAAATGGTTCGTGAAAATGGGTCTGTATTGACCAGTCTCTTCCTCTTTTAGAAAATCTTTTTCTACCTTAAAACCATATTTGGACATTTACCATTGCTGTTTCCATTTGGGGTGTCTAAGTAACCCCAAGGCCATCATTTCTCCAGGAGCCTTCCTGAAGTCAAGTTTTTGTGCTCAGAGCATTAAGGCTTTTCCCATAACTGTCGGAAGCTATTGCTTTCTTAACCCTCTTTAAATGTCATATCTCACATTCTTTAACCAGAACCATCAAGTTGTCTCTTCCTGAGTCTGTCTGCCTCTTCCTGAGTCATCTTCTCATTCTGAGTGTTCTTATGTAAAAGCCTGTTCAACAGTAATGATGCAGACGGAGCAACACAAATTTTTGTTGTTTTCGTTTCTTGAAACTGAAGGGACTTGACTGTGATCACCTCACGCTCTGTCCAGCATCCCACCTCCACACAGTGCAAAGTGGGAGCAGAGCAGTACTTCCTGAGCACTTAGATTAAGTTATTTATCAGCAAGTCCAACCAAGGAAATAATATCCCAAGTCATATTATGAAGGAAGCTTCCTTTTACAAACTTAAAAAAATGAAAGAAACCCAAACTCCAGTGGGCTGCAAATCTAGTTAAAGCAGCACAGTTCCCTTTTTTCTTCCTGCCCTCCCCACCCCACCTTCTTTCTATCATGGAGATATCATTTCTAAGGATTTCTCAGAAAAGAATATAATCTCTCCTTCAAAGTCAGAGCATCCCAGTTTAATTTTACTGAAAACGTTCCAGCAGTAATGCTCTAGTTACATCCGAATAAAACAGAATCTACTCAGAGTAATAACAGTTTGGGGGAGTAATCCTTCTCTTAATACAGTACTTCCTGTTAGATATTTTTCCATTTACTCTCCTAAGTGGCTTCACTCATAATTCCAGCTCTGCCTGTATCTTTGAAATGCAGCTGATACCCTGACAGGCAGTTTTCTGAAAGCCCATGAGATTTTTAGCGTTATCACATCCCCTCGGTCACCTGTCTTCAGAGCTGAAAGAATATTTTTTAAAGTTCCAAATGAAAACAATTAAACATTTAAGGTTTATCCATGGAAACACAATCATTTTTTATGAATTCATGTGCCAAAATTTTGAGTATTATCCCATTTTTATGACCACAGAGATGTCCTTTCTTTTCTAACCACCCCCATCCCCTGCCCAGGCCAAAAAAAACCACCATGACTGTTTAATAAGTTGTATCTCAATTTTTAACATACATCAAGTCTTACACAGGACGTTTGAATTATCAAGGAACAAAGTAGATGGTAGAATTACCATGAACTATGTATGATACTGTCATTTTGTCATATTCGTAAAATTACTTGAAAGTTGGCTGCTGTTGTAATAAAAATATTCCATTGCTTGACATAGAAGTCATTATGATTTTTAAGTTGCTTTTTAAAAAGTGCTCACCTGTTTCTTCTCCCTTCTTTCTTCTTTTGTGTTTTCTCCCACCACTTACGTAAATTACTTTGGCAAATACCACTCTTTAAAATTGAAGTGCTACCTATCAACTAATAATAAAAAAAATGTGAACGATACAGATAGATAGCCCATTAGGAGGAAAATAAGTGTGGGTCATTTCTTTTTGTTTGAAGCACGACATTTTAGTTTTCCCCAGTTATGCCTGTGGAATGGGGTGGGGTGGTCTCCAATTTCCACTTTTAACATGAGTGGCAGTGGCAGCTCACAGCAGAAAACTCTTCCTCTTTTAGCACCAACAATGGTTTTAGCACCAAAACCCAGGAAAGCTAGGTCTGAATGGGTAGGGTGAGCTGTGCCAGGTCCACACAGGGAGAAAATTGAACCCTGAATGTTGTTGGATATCACCTCCTCTCTACTAGGGCCAAGCCATTGACTTCTGACTCCTAGGAGAAGGTCTTTCCACCTTTACAACTCCTCACCTTAACTTTCACCTCCCAACTGCTAAAAAAAACTTTACCAAAAGCTGCTGAACCCCGTAAAGTAGCTTTTTGTAGTGGATCTGCTTTTAGGTGAATAGTAAAACTTAAATATTAGAAAATTGCAGTAGCATAAACTAAAGAAGAAAGTAAAGCGTCACCATTGCACTTGGTCAAGATGGGGACATTAACTCCGATGTGTGCCTGGGTCTGAATTTATAAAGGTGACTGAGTGACAACACAGAGGTCAATGCCACTGAAAGAAAAGTTTGTTGTTACTCAGTTCCCCTCGAAAGGAGAGGCATGGCACGACACGTGGGGCCACACGGGAGGCACCAGAGCCAGTCAGGGCAGAAGCAGGACACAGGGAAAGCACAGGGACAGCAGCCTTCATTGTGTTTCTGCCAGAAAGGCAGGCAGGGCAGCAGAGACAGCTTAGGACTGGGGAGCCTGAGTAATGCTGCGGCTCTGGGCTATCAGGTGGTCTCTAATTACCTGGTCCAGGGCCTGGAGCTGTGAGCAGAGGAGCATTGCCTCCTGGAGTGTAAGCCAGACAGAGCCCCCCCCCCTCCCGGGTCACAGTGTGGGCTCTGGATTGGTTGGTTTTCATGTGAAAGACATGCTCCCTGCTGTCTTTAAGAATTGACTAGCCCAGGAGGGGCAGTCTCTCCCCAGTCAGGGACCCCTCCCCAAACCTCCCCACCCCCTACCTCGAGATGTCAAAATGTTACAAAATATATATATTTTTTAATTAAGCTCGTTCTAGCACTTCCGGTTACCGGCTCTCTAAGAGGCCTGTACTCCCTCTGTAGACGGGCAGCCTGGACCTGTGGGCACAGCCCTATATGTGCAGAGGCTCAGTGGCAGAACCATGGTCACAGTCATGCAGCCAGAGAACAGCCCTGCAGAGCAGGGAGCTCCCCAAGCATGTGACGTCCCCAGGTAGAAAGATCAGACCCCAATCATACGGAAACACACTGAGACGTTTGCCTAGGTCAGCAGGCTGAGTTGGCATGTGTGGCCCTTAGGACAAAATGGAGCTTGCAAAATGTAATTTCTCCAGCCTTTCACTTTTAGGTTTGACAGCATTGCATTGGGACCTTCACTATGTACCATACTCTATTAACTTGAAAGCTCTGGTCAAGTTTCGCACTGCTAAAAGTTTGATCAGTGACTGGCTTATCTCACCTCTCATACTGCTTACCCCTCCACCTCCCCACCCCATATACACAGTTTCCCACTGAACTCTGGGAAAAGAACAACTGTCAATAGGTAGGTTGGAAAGCGCTCTTCGTACATTGCTGTTTCATGCTAGTAGAGGATGTGTCATTAGCATCTTAATTTATAGTTCTGAAATTATTTTACCAGTTAAGACTTTGGTGTGTACTTTTTTCTATTTAATTAGAAGAGCAGGTTTGAACAGATAAGTTGATGTAGATAAACTTAAAAACCATGCTGATAAAGTGGATTCTGGACCTGGATCACTGACCACTTTCTGGCGATAAGAATCCCGTCAGTGGCCAGAGAGGCCCTGGCATGAAGTGACCATCTAATTTTTAAAACTTTCACTGGTGGTGAATTGGGATGGTCACTAGTAGAAGGAAATGCATTAGTTCATACAATGTATCAGGCCTTTGAGAAGTGTGGAATAAATAGCTATAAGGACGGTGGAATTGGGTGGCTGTTGCTAAGGCTGATGGGTGCTCTAGAAAAACATACAATGCTATGGACAGTTAATCACCAATCAAGAACCCTTAAAAAATTTGAATACCCAGATTCCCCTGAGACTGCTGAACCTACAGAAGTAGCTTAGAGATAATATGAAGGCTACTTCCTGTAGAGGTTAACCTCATGATCTGCTCCCACCTACCCTCCAGGTCACTGAGCCTGTAACTGGGGTTAACTCAAAATAACCTTCCACCCAGGGACACTCTGAGCCTGATAAGGGGTGAGGGAGAGCTCTCTATCCCAAAGGAGCCTCAAGACCTAGCCCACTTGTACCCGCAGAAGTTGGGAGGCTGTCTGTGCATAGGCAGGGTTCTGAGGGTGCTTCATCAAAGGGATTGGAAGACAGAGTTGAATAAGAGCTGATAAATTTGGGAGCAGCCTTTTAGGATTCAGGATTTATTTACCACACTAGCAAGGACCCCAGGAGATGAGAAGGGGGCCCTGGTGAAAAGAGTACCAGCAACCCTAAAACCCAACCCAGAGCTGGTGATAGGAATGGCCATTGCAGAGGCAGCCCCCTGATGGCAAATGGGGGTTATAGAATTCCAAAGCAACAGAGGCCACATGACAGCACGTAACTGCCAGAGCTGGGGAGAATGTTGCCAGAGGAGAGGGAGCCTCTTCTGTAAGGTCCAGGCTCCTGCTCCTGGGTCTGAGGAGGGTCTAAGGGAAGAGGCGGTCATGTTCTGCCTGCTGTCTGGGGCAGGATTAGGAGAAGTGGATTAGGACCAGCTAAGGGTTGGGTGTTGTCACAAGGCAAGGATGGCTCTGCATTTGGGTGTCCCTCGTCAACGGTGAGAGTAGCTAAGCAGGTCTAGGGTGTCTGGGGTAAGACAGCAGTGGTCACTCAATGAGGTGACCGTGGTGGCCTTTTCCTGCTGCCGCCTGGCCTTGGAAGAAACGATGCTTCCCGTGAAGTCTGCAGCTGGCTTTATGTGTGTCTGTCCTCCCAGCCTGGTGAACAGCAGGGCTGCTTTTTTTCTCTTTTCAGACCTAGATGATTTTTGGTCTTTCAGCCCTGACAAATCTTTACTCTCTCCTTGGTGTTCAAAAACGATTGAACAAATATTCACCCCAACCATGATTCCCTAGAATGCAGGAGTATTTCTTATATTCGTTATGTGTATAATACGTAGGTCTTTCACAGAGCTCAGTTTTAGGCTTTCATAGATATTTTATGAATATGTGAATAAAGGAAGAGAGGGAGGAACAGAAAAGGGAGGGAGAGAAGAATGGAAGGGAGGACAGGTGGGAGGGAACGGGCCGCTATTTTGGTGAAGTCCTAAAGGACAAGCCATGTTTGGTGCCACCTGCTGGACGCTGTGCAGTATTGCAAAGGGCCGAGGGGCAGGGGCAGGGGCTCCCATCGGACACTCAGCCCATGCCTGATGTTTTTCCAGAGACTTCACCAAAATAATAAAGTCTTCGCCGAGATCCCATTGACAGATGGCTTCACGAGAACAAATCACAATCTCCAATTGCACAGGCAATTGATTGTGGAGCAGAGTGCTTCCATGGGCCCACTCTCGACACTTTTCCTTATCAGGAATCTTAGGCAGGGTTGGACTTCTCTTTATGGGAGAGTGGGAAAACTCTGGTTATAAAGGTAATTGTATTTCCCCACTGGTCTGTATAGTGACGTATAGTGATTTCTGGTTGGTCTTCAATTGGCAGCATGTCACACAATCTAGTTTTAAGTTTCTCTGTCCTTGGGCCATTTTGCCAACTACTTAACACATTGTTTGCGGGCATTTTTCTCTATAAGACGAGGTTACTCGTTTCCTGCAAACAATGTTTAATGAGGAAGCTGAAGATATGACTTCCCACCATGGCCCACTTAGTTAAAACTTTTTATATTCACACCATTCTCTGTGGTTATTTTCAGTCTCCTGAGCTTTTCAGGTTTAACGTGTCCCCTTTTCTATCCACACTGGCAATTGTCGACAGTTTGGCTCAAATAAACTCTCATCAGTTTTCTATTAGCACACTGTAAGCGGGCATTTTTCTCTATACGACGAGTTTACTCGTTTCCCGCAAACAATGTGTTAATACTTAAAATTATTTTATACTTAAAAATTCTGGAGACCTCCAGTTAAAGGAACCCCAAAGTGAGTGCTTTTATGAATCCAAGAGCCTTTTCACAAAGCAAAAGGATTTATGTTTTATGTATTTACATGATTATTTTTAAAAGTTCTAGACCTAACTGTATAAACAGTAAAAGATGATAGACTGACGCGATGTTAAACCAAAATGACCCAGAGTCATTTGAGAGATTTCCCCCGAGATCATAAGGTCAGCAGCTGGGCAGAAAAAGGATGAAGGGTCTGGGTGGAGTGCACGTGGGCAAGCTTGCTTATTTAGACGCACACCGTTCTAATACTCTGCCCTTCCCAACAGTGGTGGCAGCAGCGCCCTTCATCTCCAAAAGAATGTTTTTGTGTTGTTTCTCTCCATTTGCAATAAGGGTAACTATGCCAAGGAGGCAGCTTTGGAAGTTGCCGTTGGCGCAAAATCACTTGGTGAGTCCTGTGGTTCCTCCCCTTCGACTGAGGCTGTAATGTGAAGACCATGGAATTTGGAGTCAGTCTAGGTTCAGATTTTGTCTCCATCCCTCACTAGCTGTGCTGCAGGTGACAACCTCACTGAGCTTCATTTTGCTCACCTGTGAGATGGGAATAACAAACTCTAGCTGGCAGGGTGATTATGGGGATACATGAGACGGTACAGGTAAACAGAGTAGGCACTGACAACAGTCGCTGTCGTTATCACCACTAGTCACAGACAAGGCTTCTGGTTGTCCATACCTTCATTCTCCCCCTTATTTCTTAGGAATATGCCCAGCTTACAAAGCTACCGGTCCAAGATTCCTTTACAGGTAGGGATGGCCAATAAGAGATAAGGGAAGTCATTGGAAAATAGGAAAAGCTACCTAACAG